TTAGCAAAAGTCCCTGGAGAAATTCAGCCGAGAGGGACACAATATATCACATTACATGTTTCTTTTCCTGAAAAGGAAGACTCTTTTCCAGCATGCCAGCTGAATTTGGCAATTTTTTTTAGTGGAAGTTATAGTTGGAATCCTTTAGTGAGAGCACAAAAAAAAAAAAAAGACATGAAAGATGTGACACTAAATGCTGGAGGCCTATAAAAGATTCCTAAGTTATTTAATAGGAGCTTCCTACGATGGTGTATATTTTAAACCTTAAGATTTAATCTATATTACATCAAAATGAAAAAGCATGCAAAAACTAATTAACATGATCCTATTTAGATCTAATTGTTTGAAACAGAACCCTTTTTTTCATATCTTTTGGTAAAAATATTATATATTCAATCATCTCCTGCTATAAGATACACTATAAACAGCCCTATAACAATAAGGGGTGCATCACTTCCACAGATGGGCAGCTCTAGAAAGTGCTTGGCATGAATATATATATATATATATATATTAGATTATATAATACATATATTTATTTAATATTAGCAACAAAATACAATCTTGGTGGAGTTTGACTTTGTATACAACCGAACCTAGCTCTAGCTATGCTCCTAATAACCATATTGTCAACTTGATACCTCCTTTTCATGCGTCATGACTTGTGAGGAAACACTAAATTCAGAAAAATGAATTGATAGCTGAGAAAGTGAACCAAATAAAGAAAGGGAATTATTACCACAACACAATTGGAATTTGGACGAAGAGTTTTTCCAATGAAATGAAAAGGTGAGTATTTGACTGGGAGTTGAAACGTGAAAATTCTTAAGGGACTTTAGAAGATGCATTTCGACTGCTGCATTTGACTCCAATTAGCTCGCTTCATTCTCACCTTTCATCATTCTATGCAAAGACAATTTGCAAGAAAAAGTGGAAAAACAAAAAAAAAAAAAGAGAGGGGGGAGAGAGAAAAAAACACTAGTACAACTGAGAAGGTGGCAGATGTCTAAATAAAACCTTTTAATTCTCTTCTATGATTTTGAAATAGTGGACAAAGAGTACATTATTGATGGTAAGGGAAAAAATTTACTAAGATACACCAAAGTTGCAGGCTGGCCCATTTCATGACTTTCCAAAAGCAATGAAATCTGAGATAATGTAAGGCCTCGTTTACTTCACCGATTCGAGTTTTTAATTTTAGGTTTCTACAGTCAAAAGCTCTCAGAAAATGTCACATTAAAATTTTCTGCTACAGTAAAAAGCTCTCAGAAAATGTCACATATCAGCTCGAATTGAAAACTCGAATCCGCGAAGTGAACGAGGCCAAATGGCTAAAATCGTAGTACTACAATATTTTGAAAGGGCAAAAAGTAGGCCAATCCACAAGATTGGCATTTTGGATTCTTATGTGACACAAAAGTAATTTCCTACCCACCGTCCAGTATGCCAAAATTACGGCTACTATTGATAACCACGCAATGTGCTAAAGAGCAAGCACTTCACTTGCTTTAAAAGGAAAAAAAAAAAAAAAGGTGTAACGTGTAATTGAAAAGGAGAACGATTTAAAAATAAATAAATAAAAAAACTCATATATACACTATGCCAGCTTATATTTAAAATTTGAAAAATAGTAGGAAATAGGCCAATATGAAAAGCTTAAGTATATAGGCTAATTTTTAGTTATAGAAATTAATAGGTCATAATTTTTTAAGTTATGGTTCATAATCATATAAGTTATGGACAAACTTGTCAAGTTATGGTTCATAACCAGATAAGTTATGGACAAAAATTGAGAATAACTTGTCAAATTATAATTCATAACTAGACAAGTTATGGACAAAAACAGTAATTTAGCCTATTTATTAACTTATGTAAACTATTGACCTATTAATTTTAATTCATCTAAAATCTTGACCTATTTTTCTCTTTCTCCCTTAAAATTTTTAGATTAAGAAAAGTATAGAATCTTAACTTTTTAGAACTGAGCCCAATGAAAAATTTAGATAAATGCAAAATGGCCCAATAAGAGGGGTATAATTCTCTTTTTTTTTTGTTTTTTTTTTCATATCTTAAGATTTCTCTCTTATTTACTTCCATTGTATATTAACTCTAAATTGTAAGAGAATGCCACAAAACTAAAAACATTGAGTTAAGGATAGCGTCCTTAATTTTCTCCAATGTTTTCCTTTTATAAATAATTTTTAAGTAATACTTCGACATTAAAAAAAAAAAACTCGGAGACATTTCAATTAGCAATGCATATGGATGCAGATGAGAATTGGAATAAAGTGGACACCTTCTATAATCTTTTAGTCCAAAAGTGAAGAAAGTAGCAAGCATGGATTGGGTGCCCAAAAGCTATCACTGTGGTACGGTTAAGGTCCAAAAGTTACATTCTATTAGGGGGAAAGAAAAATGAAGAGACAAATAACTTTAAAATGCACGCTCTTAAATTTTATCTCTTACACTTATTTAATACTTTATAATTAAAAATATATATCAGTTAAAAAGATATTAATTAAAAATAAAAAATAAAATTATTAAAACAAGATATTCAAACGGTGAAATTTTTTTTTTTTTTTTTTTTTTTTTTTTTTTAAAAGGAAGGGAAGGTCCAAAAGTTGAAAGACTAAATTTGCCTAAAATATGAGAAAACAATATGCCCTTAAGTCACTTTTTAGTTGTGCCTTTCTCCAAAAATTCTGCCCCTTCTTAGCTGAAATGCAATGCTAAGTTAATAGCAGAAAGCTTGTAGTACTGAAGAAGATTCATAAAATCTTTTTATCAGTTCAATAAGGTCATTCCTCTAAATTTCCAAGAAAAAAAAAAGGCACAAAATTGTTAAAATAAGAATAGTTGAGGGGCTAAATGTTGTCCAATACTCTTATTTTGACAAATACATGCAAGTTTGGGAAATCCTTATCTGCCATTGCATAATAAGGGCCGTGTAGTAAACTAGGACAACAAAACTTTCAAACGAAAAGTTTTGAAGTAGAATAATAAGCTCCATTTATTTCACTGATTCAAGTTTAAAATTCGAGTTTTGTTATAGTAAAAAACTATTAGAAACAATGGCCCATTTCATGACTTTCCAAAAGCAATGAAATCTGAGATAATGTAAATGGCTAAAATCGTAGTACTTCATTGAGATAATGTAAATGGCTAAAATCGTAGTACAAAAAATATTTTGAAAGGGCAAAAAGTAGGCCAATCCATAAGATTGGCATTTTGGATTCTTATGTGACACAAAAGTAATTTCCTACCCACCGTCCAGTATGCCAAAATTACGGCTACTATTGATAACCACGCAATGTGCTAAAGAGCAAGCACTTCACTTGCTTTAAAAGGAAAAAAAAAAAAAAAGGTGTAACGTGTAATTGAAAAGGAGAACGTTATTTAAAAATAAATAAATAAATAAACTCATATATACACTATGCCAGCTTAAATTTAAAATTTCAGCTTAAATTTAAAATTTGGAAAATAGTAGGAAATAGGCCAATATGAAAAGTTTAAGTATATAGGCCAACTTTTAGTTATAGAAATTAATAGTCCATAATTTCTTAAGTTATGGTTCATAACCATATAAGTTATGGATAAACTTGTCAAGTTATGGTTCATAGCCAGACAAGTTATGGACAAAAATTGAGAATAACTTGTCAAGTTATGGTTCATAACCAGACAAGTTATGGACAAAAACAGTAATTTAGCCTATTTATTAACTTATGTAAACTATTGACCTATTAATTTTAATTCATCTAAAATCTTGACCTATTTTTCTCTTTCTCCCTTAAAATTTTTAGATTAAGAAAAGTATAGAATCTTAACTTTTTAGAACTGAGCCCAATGAAAAATTTAGATAAATGCAAAATGGCCCAATAAGAGGGGTATAATTCTTTTTTTTTTTTTTTCATATCTTAAGATTTCTCTCTTATTTACTTCCATTGTATATTAACTCTAAATTGTAAGAGAATGCCACAAAACTAAAAACATTGAGTTAAGGATAGCGTCCTTAATTTTCTCCAATGTTTTCCTTTTATAAATAATTTTTAAGTAATACTTCGACATTAAAAAAAAAAAAACTCGGAGACATTTCAATTAGCAATGCATATGGATGCAGATGAGAATTGGAATAAAGTGGACACCTTCTATAATCTTTTACGAGTCCAAAAGTGAAGAAAGTAGCAAACATGGATTGGGTGCCCAAAAGCTATCACTGTGGTACGGTTAAGGTCCAAAAGTTACATTCTATTAGGGGGAAAAAAAAGATGACACCTAACTTTGAAATGCACGGTCTTAAATTTTATTTCTTACACTTGTTTAATACTTTATAATTAAAAAAATATATCAGTTAAAAAGATATTAATTAAGAATAAAAAATAAAAATATTCAAACAAGATATTCAAACGATGAATTTACTAATTTTTTTTTTTTTTTAATGGAAGGGAAAGTCCAAAAGTTGAAAGACTAAATTTGCCTAAAATATGAGAAAACAATATGCCCTTAGTCACTTTTTAGTTGTGCCTTTCTCCGAAAAATTCTGCCCCTTCTTAGCTGAAATGTAATGCTAAGTTAATAGCAGAAAGCTTGTAGTACTGAAGAAGATTCATAAAATCTTTTTATCAGTTCAATAAGGTCATTCCTCAAAATTCCAAAGAAAAAAAAAAGGCACAAAATTGTTAAAATAAGAATAGTTGAGGGGCTAAATGTTGTCCAATACTCTTATTTTGACAAATACATGCAAGTTTGGGAAATCCTTATCTGCCATTGCATAATAAGGGCCGTGTAGTAAACTAGGACAACAAAACTTTCAAACGAAAAGTTTTGAAGTAAAATTACAAGCTCCATTTATTTCACTGATTCAAGTTTAGAATTCAAGTTTTGTTACAGTAAAAAACTATCAGAAACAATCACATCTAACTTTTTTACTACAGTAAAAAGCTCTCACATAAAGTCACATCTCAACTCAAATTAATAATTCAAATCAGTGAACTAAATGGACCCATAAAAATTCTTCTATTAAAAAAATAATTGAATTCTTGACAACAAACTTATGTAGGATATTACAACAGGAAAAATGAATCGCATCAATGTCACATATCAACCTTTCCATTATTTTGTGAGAAACCTGAAATAAATTAAAAATAAAAACTGGTTGAAAACATTATTCAGCTGCTAGTCTGCTACTTTCATTATGTCTTCCCATGTTACCAGTTTCTCCCTGGGTTTGTTTCTTAAACTCCCAAGCCGCCTTTCTTCAGAATCTATTTTTTCCCAAGCACTAAATGGTAGAACTCTAACATTACGATCATCCAGCACCTGGAGGAGACCCTCTCTGCCAGGCTTGGGCAAGCTAGCTGAGGACGCCACTAATCCTCGCTCAACGTCTTCCGATATACTTGCGACCTGTCATGTAAGCCAGTTTAATTCGCTAAGATAGTATTTTCAGTTGTAACAGTTTGTATAACAAAGATGCTTCACATGCAAAAGACCACTTACAGTTTCTTCAGCGCAATAGTGGTTTGTGCCAATGATTCCTGTTGGTCCTCTCTTTAACCATCCGCATACATACAAACCCTTCTCAAGAACTGGAGGATCTTTTTGCGCATCACTTATAACTCGACCTTTAATGTTTGGAACAATACCTAAAAATACAAAAGTATTCGAATAAATTAGGCTCTCGAAACATATGTTATCTGAGTTTAGAATCATTGTGATGCAGGGATGGTCAAATGAGTAATAGATTCATTAAAATTCGTATTTGATTTGTCCTTGTCGTCTCTGAAGTTCAAAGTCTAAAATATGAACTAGTACACAAACCTCTACCACTGAAAACAAAACAAAAATCATATGCAAGCTTTAAGAGTCCTAGTAAAATATGAATGCAACATACCTTTTTTATGATCAAAGGGTAAGCCATCAACTGGTAATGATTTATACCCAATGCTCTTTAGCACCAACCTATGAGAGGTGAGCACATTCCACAGTAATAAGGATTTCATTTTGAACATTTGTGTTCACAATGAACGAAAAGGATAACACTACTTTAAAGTGGCAGAAAAAAGGTCAATTAAGGCCCGTTTGTTTCATATACTCAAACTCAAATCATTG